GCTTTCCAGTTCTGCCAGCACCATTTGTTGCAGAGACTATCCCCTCCCCATGCGATATATTTAGGTACTTTGTCAAAAATCTGTTGGCTGTATGTGGATGGGTTAATTTCTGGATTCTCGATTCTGTTCCATTGATCAATGTATCTTTCATTTTAGCAGTAGTAGGTTGTTTTGACCACTGTAGCCGTGCAATAAATTTTGAAGTTGGTCAGTGAGAGGTTTCCAACCTTATTCTTCTTCTTAAGCAGTGCTTTGCTTATCCTGGGTCTCTTTGCTTTCCATATAAAGTTTGTAGTTGTTTTTTTTCCATCTCTTTGAAGAATGTCATTGGAATCTGAATTGGGATTGCATTATATGTGTAAATTCCTTTGGCTGTATTGATATTTTCACAATGTTAAGTCTTCCTCTCCATGAGCATGGTACATTCTTCCATTTTTGTAGGTCTCTTTTTGTTTCTTGTAGTAGTGTTTTGTAGTTTTCTTTGTATATAAAGTCCTTTGTTCCTCTGGTTACATTTATTCCTAGCTATTTCATCCTTTGGGTGGCTATTGTAAATGGTATTGCTTTCCTAATGTCCTTTTCAGCCCTGTCGATTTTGGTATAGAGGAAAGCAACTGATTTTTGTATGTTGCTCTTATGTCCTGCTACTTTGCTGAATCTTCCAATGAGGTCTAGTAGCTTTTTTTTTTTAACTGAGTCTTTGGGTTTCCTATGTATAGGATCATCACATCTGCAACTAGAGTTTTACTTCCTCTTTGCCAATTTGGATGCCTTTACTTTCCCTGTCTTACCGTATACCTCTTGCTAAGACTTTCTGCACAATATTGAATAGGAGTGGTGACAAAGGGCATACTTGTTTAGTTCCTGTTTGCAGAGGAAGGCTTTTAGTTTCTCTTCCTGTTCGTTTTTTATTGCAGTTAGCTTGGTATATATTTTTTTTCCATCCTTTGACTTTTAATCTGTTTTTGTCTCTGTGTGTAAGGTGTGTCTCTTGCAGACAGCATATTGAAGGATCTTGTTTTCTTACCCATTCTGCCA